GAGGCCAATGTGAAGATTTGCCCAACCATAGTCAGGGAAATTTTGTTCTCTCTTATTCCGTGCGTTTGGAGAATAGAGGAACAGGTCCTTTGTGACCTAGAATTCATTGTTCAAAATAGTTCACGCTCGATGGTTGCAACACAGAGGCGTGCAGTTTGCAGGGGCTTTTTTCTCTTTCTTTCACATTTTATTGATTATGGTTGGGTACTTTATACCCACTGGATTGTTGTACAACACTGTTGGCATATTCGGGATGAACATAAAAGTGGGCCTGTCATTTTCGCGCACTAGGCCATGATAGCTTAACTCATTGAGTCTTTAGATAGGTAACTAAGTGACCTTAGCTCCATGGCTCATACGCGAGGAAATGCCGTGCTGCTGAACTGTAGGAAAGCAGAACACACTGTTCACTGTTTGCCCCCAATGGGCGGTTATAAATAAATAAATAAATAAATAAATAAATAAATAAATAAATAAATAAATAAATAAATAAATAAATAAATAAATAAAAACCGTTCAGCTGTAGCACACTTTCGGTCCCCGACCGCTATACAACCCGATGGAAGCACGAGGGATGGGGTACCGCCAAGTTGCCCAAACCTAGACAGGGGAAGTCGAGAGGCCGATGTCGGGTTCGAACCGCGGACATTCCGCGCTCTAACTACGGACATCTCACCTCCGTCTCCTATATTAGTTACAATGTACCACTGAGGATTATCTTACAATCAAGGCGCCTTCAAATATCATCTGTCAGATACACTGTCACTCCATTCCACAATATGTTCCATGGTACAGTACAACTATACAACTATACTACATCTATAAGATATGCACAAGAGGCTAATACACCGCATCTGTTGCTAACTGTACGTCAAGATCTCACCTGGGGGCTAAGATAATATCATACACAGGATATTTTGAATGCCATTTTGAAAAAGTAAGACTAGGAGAAGCTGATACGGCGTTGTTTGGGCTCTTAACACGAAAACTCTGTTTATGGAATACAGTGATGTTCTATCGACCGACAAATAATACGACATGAGCAGTTCCACATTACACTCATGTTATAGGGTTTTAAGGGGTCCAGATTTATTCCTGGAAAATCAAGGATCCACTTGGACTGTCATCCTACGTATCTCCATACCGTAACTCCAGTTTAAAGGTACCTTTCTTCATCATGAAAACCATGTTACTTTTAAGGGTTCAACTGTCGTACATTACCAGACGTTTGTGCAGTTCATTGAAAACACCATTGCAATGAAGTTAATCACCTGATTATGTGTTGATCTCTGCACCACGGAACAAAGTTTTTTAGCTTCAAGAAGAGGTAAGTTGGCAACTAGTTACATCAACCAGCAGCAATCACCATAAACTCTTCTGCCGAAAAAACCGCTTCTATTGGTGTGACCTTCGATTGAGCGGTAAGTTATACTCGGTTTGTCAATCTCAAATTACTCAACATGTTACTATTAATTTTGTTAGTAGCACATACCTAATTAGATTTTTGGTCTAACACAGTGAGGCCGTGGAAATAGCATTTAGGTCTTGCGTATTACGCTTGATGTTCAGTAGCGCCGATCAACACTTTTGTCATTTTTTTTGAAAATCGATCTTTCGCTGAATATGTCGGCTGGAAGTTGAATAAATTTTTCCTGGATTTCTGAGGATGGTTCTAAGTGTGATATCGCCCCAGGTGCCTCATTTGAGCTCAAGGTT